AATGAAAGCTGAGATTCTCATCACTTGCCTCCAAGAGCAGGGGCTTTAGGAAAACCACCAAATTGTGCGAGACTCACAATAACGTTGTAAGAATTGGCAACACTAACAACACATGTCTAATATCATACAGGAAGTCTGTGGCAGAGTTGGGACTAAGCTCAAGTCTCCTAAATCAGTGTTTATCAAACTTTTGTACTGGTGACCCCTTTCACATAGCAAGCCTCTGAGTGTGACCTCTCTTATAAATTAAAGATACTTTTTTATATATTTAACACCATTATATATGCTGGAGACAAAGCAGGGTTTGGGGTAGAGGCTGACAGTTTGCGATCCCCACGTAATAACTTCGCGACCCCCTGAGGGGTCCCAACCCCCAGTTTGAGAACCCCTGTCCTAAATCCATTCCACTTTATCAGGCACAAGATAGTACAGCTGCCTACATATGAATCTAAAGTAAGGGAGTTCCCATCCAAAAGAGTGATCAGGCAGGTTTCCTACTCTGAGGTACAGAGTGGATAATTTAATTAACCTATGACAGACTTAAGTTTGGGTAAAGGCTTCCTGTTGCTCAAGCAGCTCTGATGTCAAGTGTCTCTCGGACAGTGTTTTCCCTTTGATGCACACACCCAGATCTTTACCAAAAGCTTTAAAAAGTGTTGCAATGCATTTTTTAAAATAAATTTAAAAATGATTTGTATGGGGTGGGAAGTGGAACATTGAGGGAGGGAAAGCAACTTTATTTTATTTCTCTGTTCTCTTCTGGGTTTGCTGCAGTTTTTCTAGTTTGTGACTAAACTGAATTTTGTGAGCCTATATATCAACAAATAGCATGACACTACAAAGATTGTCCTATCAGTCCTCCCTGCGCATTAGACTAGAAGTTTTCACTTCACACATAACACATAAATGAAATGGTTGCAGTGATTGCAGAAAGACAGCAAATATCGTCAACATAAGACAAAACGAAGGGAAGAAAATATGATTTTTACAAGTTGCCCCTTGCCTGATATCAAACATTTCCAGACCCACAAGTAAAAATCATAGAGGCCATAGTGGCTAATCTGTAAAAATAAATAATATTTTCATTTCAGATTTCTAATGTAATATTATATGTTGCATTTAACAAAAGTGTTAACTTGTTCTGGGCTTCTTGATTTTCCTGAAACAATCTTTCTGTTTTCTTACTCATCACTATCTGCTGATGACCTGATCTCTCTGACCTGCATTTATTTCTATTTGTAATATTGATTAGCATGCTACAGTTTAGCCAGTCTCAAAAAAAAAACAAAAACAAACAAAAAACAGGCCAAGTTGTGCCAGAAGATACATGGACCCAAATCCACTGATTTGGCACTTATTTGTATTTACATTGACTTCAAATGCTCACATATCTCAAGGGCAGAAGTTGACCATACATTTTCATTCTGTGGTGCTCTTCCACACATGTAGTAAAATTTGTTTCTTCAGCCTCGGGTTCTGTTCACATCAGAAGTGCATCTGCTTTACTGGACAGCTGAATGTGGTCCATAGTGGTATTCAAAATGTTAGGCCCCAATTCTGCAAACACATATATACAACTGCACAACTCATGTGAGTAGTGGCATTCATTTACAGAGGACTACTCACACCAACAAGTTATGCATGTGGTTGTAGGATCAGAGCACAGGTCTGAAATTTATATAGAAACAAATATTGCACTGCAACAACACAACCTTTTCCCCAATTATCACATATCATAATGGACACAAATATATGCAGCTTCTTCATTTCCTCTTAAGTCATATTTACAGTCACTATAGGTGAAATCCTGATCCCAGTGAAGTCAATTGCAACATCCCCCTTCACGTCAATAAGGCAAGATTTCATCCCAAAAGAGTTAAAGCTTAAAAAAAAATAAAAGAAAAAACAAAGAAAGAAAAAACCCAACACGTGTTCATATGTCTCTAGTGCAAGCAATGTTGCCAACTTTCGCAATTTTATTGTGTCTCATGACATATGGTATTTTCCTGAAACTTGCAAATATGAATGCTAAAAGCTTTAAAACATTTGGAGTTGGCACCACTGACATGTCACACACACAGCTTAAGGCTATCGTATGCTACTTAATGCTTTGCCATGCTTCTGCCATTTTGAAGTACAAGCAACATGCTACAAAATTCTACAAAGATACACAAACACCTACCTCAGGCACATCACAAAATAAATAAGAGTTAAAAAAAACCCTAACACGCTGATCCAGCAATTAAGTCTGAATGGGTCAACCACTGCACCCACACAGAACTTCCAGTGAGACTCCTCACAAAGTCAATAGCAAGATTGAAGCTTAAAGTTGCAAAAAACACATAAACAAAACCCTGAATTAACAACCCAAAGGGCCTAAATCCTGTAAACTGATACACATGGGGAGATTTTGACTTCAAGGGGCTCCATGTGGGCACGTGGGGTCCACCTATCTGACCAGTTTACAGGGCCAGGCTATAGGAATATAAATAAACTTTAAAGTTAGCCCTTGTTATCAAGTTATTGTCTTGGTTACACTAGAGGTCCTTCCCAGCTAGTGGCTAATGGAATATAGAACACAAGTAAGGAAAGTATGGTTCTTTAAGGATCATCCAGTAGTATAGCTCTCTGTTTGCCAGTGACCATCATTCCCTTTGCTCAGAGACACCTATGAGGTAAAAATCCAAGGAGGTGAAACAGCACATAAAACTTTGAAAAAGGTTTTTGCTTGATCCCATGTTTGTTTAATTTGCACAATTGTCAACTTTCATTTCCAGTTGAATATTGGGGCCCAGTTTAGAGTAGGAAAACAAATTGTGGTTTAAAAACTGTTAGCTAACACACCAGTTTAAGTGCCTCCACATTAGGGATTTCCTCTGTTTAAACCAGAATAATTTTAAAATTGATTTAATTTAAAATGATGCAGACAGGGCCTAATAGTATCATGGGGCTGATCCAAAGCCCACTGAAGTGTGGGACTGACTTCAAAGAGCTGCAGCTCAAGTCTCTTAAACTGTCTCCAGGAAAACAAGAGAAGCAACATAACTGGGAACTCACCCCTCCCTTACACCATTCACTTCAATAAGGTGCTAACTTCAGGGTCTAACTGAGACTGCTAACTGCTTTGCTAACAGTATTATGCATTCTATTTAATTATAGCATCTAAACCACTCAGTTGGAGCTGAGACACTTAAAAATATTATTTTAAACTCCCCATTACTTGCTACTTTGCTGAGTTCATTCCGTTTTGGCATACATGCTAATATCTTTTTAAAGAAATGTAACAACCCACCAACTTCAGCAACTGAGCAAATATGTGAGCTACCATCACAACATGTTGCAAGAGTACGGAATAAGCTCATGTTCTCCCTCTCTCTTTTTTTAAGTGTTACCATTTCTTTCCACTAGGTATGTTCCAAAATCTTCTTTCATTAATTTTTCATTAATTTTCCTAAGTAAGGCTATGACTGGCAACACATTGTCTATCTGCTGCCTTTTTTATGTATGTGTGTTTCTCTATTGTGGAAAATGTGAGTTTGTTCTAAACTTTTATTTATGTAAACTATTCTGCAGTAGCTAGTGGTCAACTGGAGCGTACTAGCAAGACAGAAAAAATATCTCTAGCTGTTTTCCCAGAATGATCACAACAGGAAACTAATGAAAAATACTCATATGTATGTTATTTACATTTGCTAACTTCCATTAAAATATACCATAGTAATAGTCCAAAACAATGTGCTTTATAATACTGTTATTGTGGACTATTAGTCTAGAATATTGTGAGTGCATATTATACATAAAGCCTCACAGTATTCTAGAATAATAGTTCCTTTATATGTTTTGTAATTCAGGAAGTTAGCTATCTATCTTCCTGAATTACAAAACACATAAAAGAATGAAAACTAATTTGCTCTTGATTTCTTAGCTGTTTAAGAGAAATATAAAAGCAAGTAATCCCATTCTTACACAGCTCCTTCAAAATGGAGTTACTTGGTAGCACAAAGGAAACAACTCAAATGGTGTTAATGGTCCCCATTCATAGCAACATTAAAGACAATTGGTCTGATTTTTCAGAGGTGCTGAGCAGCACCCGTTGAAGTCAACAAGACTTGTAGCGGCTCAGCATCTCTGGGAATCAGGCCAAAAAGGAGCAATTAGATATTCCTTAGCACTTTAATGGTCTCAGGTCTGTTTCCATTGCCTCCTATTATTCAGTGTATTTACAATTTAAAAAAACATTCCACTCTGCATCTGCTCCCGCCTGCTCTCCCCCTTCTACTTCATCCCTTTTCTGTGTCCCTGCATCCCTACTGTTCCCCATTTTACCCCCTCCACCTCCTCTGCTCCCCCCCAATCGACCCCCGCAGCCCTTCATCTCCCCTGCTCTATCTGTTCTGCCCCTGCTCGTTCCCTCTTCTGCCCCCTCCAGCTCACTCCCTGCTCTCCCCCCTACTCCAACACTTAGTGCCTTGGTTTTGACACCTCCCACTTGTCCAGCACGTTTCCCTAGCTCCGCCTCTGTTCGAGCGCTGCAAGGGGGCGGGTTCGGGGCCCCCGAGTGGGCGGGGCTATCGGGAGGGGGCGTGGCTCTAGGGGAGGGGGGAGCACGGCACAACAGCTGCAGACGGAGGGGAGTAATTTATTACAAACAGTGGCCCGAGCGCGCTGGCGCAGCGGAGTCCGGGCTCCTTTCAGCAGCACCACAGCGGGGCGGCTAGACCCCCCCTCCCCCTCAGGATGCCGGCTCGCTCCCAGGTGAGGGCGGGAGTTCAGCTGAGGGCACCCCCAGAGGGGTCAGTTGCCTGGAGGAGACACAGCCCTCAGCCCCCCCCCCCCCATGAGGAGAAAGGGGGGGAGGGGCTCAGCCCATCTTGAGGGGGGGGCGAGCGTTTTGGAGGGGGACTAACCGCCCCTTGAGACGGGGACAGAGCCCCCACCGTGAGAAGAGGCAGGTGGGGAGGGGGGTGTTTTGTATCTTAAATCAGCAAGGTGGCCCATCACCGTGGTATCTTGGCACCTTCTTTCCCATGGAGGTGGGGTAGGGGTATTGGCCCCTCCCCAGGTGGGGGGGCAGGTATGTCTGTGGGGGGACATAACCCTCCCCCTCACCCCACGGACATGACGCCTGAGCAGAGGCGTAAAGAGGGTCAGGTGTGTGGAAGTAAAGCACAGCAGCCCCCAATCCTCCCTGCCTGTCTCCCTCTCCTTTCTTTCTCATTCAAGCCCCAACTCGTGTGTTTGTGTGTGTGAGAGTGAGAGAGAGAGTTTCATCCTCCACCAGGCAATGGAAGAGAAGGAGCAGCAGCAGGTAAAGAAACCGCTTCTCCTCCTCCTCCTGCCCCCCCCCCCCCATACACTCTCCAGGGTCGGATCTTCATCCCAGAACCCCCTGGGAGGGAGGAAGAGGAGAAAAAAGAAAAGGCAGATGAAGAATGAGCATATCTTCTTTCGTCTCTTCCCTCCCACCTATAAAGTTGTCGCTCTCTCTGATTTCCCTCTTTGCTGCCTGGGATCACCTCTTCCCCGCCCCCCATTCTCTCTCTCCCTCTGTGTAAGTAGGTGCTTCAAACTTCCATTATATACCTAGGTATTTGTTTTAAATATTCAAAATGTCGACCTTTTTAATCGGGGCGGGGGGAGAGAACATTTCTTTGTGAGTCAGGGATGTTCCTGGAAGAAGGGTTTGGTTTGTAGTGTGTGTGGCTTATCGGGGGGCGGAGGAGAAGAGATTTGGTAATGAAAAGTTTATTGATCAGTCTTGTCAGTTTCTTTTTGTTTCATCTTACTGCCTGCTATGTGAAGTCTAAGAGCCTCCAGATCATTTATTTGGTATTTTTTTTTCTCTTTCTTTAAACTAGGGGAAATACGAAGTTTTAAAAATAAATAAATAAACCCCATCTGGTTTCTACAACAACAAAAGACGTTTCCAAACGAGGACAATACAATTCCTTAAGTGTTTGGAGATTTGATTTCACTCCCGATTCTTAATATTTGTTGGGAGGTATTGGATTTTTTAAAAAAAAGTTATATACCGTTCTATTCCTGGGCATGTGTGATGTATGTTTGTTTGTTTTGACATATAGAAATTCTAAAGCCAAAGCAAGCTCTTCTGTATGCGCTCTAGTGAGCCATCCCATAAAATATGGTGTGTGACTTCTTGTAAGTGTTTGAACTGAAGTGTAATAGTTTTGAAGTGGTGGCCAACAAAATCTGTTGGGTTATTGATCTACTATGAAAGGCGTTTGAATTTGAAAAGGGTTTAGTTTAGGGTTTAGTGTGTGTGAAGTTTTTTATTATTTTTCATGTATAGGTAGTTTTTTATTTCTAAAATGACCTTGAGGGTTTAAAAGCTACATCAGTTTCTACTCGGTGGGTTTGAGGGGAGGCAGCACTAGAAGGATCTATTGCAAAGCGAAAATAGAAATAGGAACTAAAGTAGATGCAGTGAAATGTTTTCTCATAGAAGTATGTGAAAAGGGAAGTTTCTGTAAGTCTGTATGAGAAAGAACGGGGAAATAACGCAGTTTCAAATGCAATGAGAGGATATCATTCTTCACATTTTATTAGGCCTTTAATGCAGGACTGATATGATCTGGGAGACACAGAAATTAAAACGCCTAACTACAAGTTGAATAGCAAGCATTGACTTGCTGACCAACGCTTACATTGTTGGGGGCTGGTTTTGTGTCTGCAAAGGTAGCAGAGCACAGGGCTATGACAATAGCTTGCAAATGCTTTCACGCCATGTTTTATTACTCTTATGAGCTCTTTTATTAACTGTACTTTGATTCCCAAACCTAATATTCTAATTTGTGATCTATTTAAGCATTTTCTCTGATAATGTGAAGGGGCAGTTGCAAATAAGTAAGATAAACTGCATTCTTCAGCAAAGGGGGAAGGGTGAATTCCCCCCCCCACTAGTTTTGTGAACTGATGAGTCAATATTTAATATCTGCGGTAGCAATGCTAGTGCGTGATGGATCATTAATGACTTAGTTAATCTAATATTAACGGTTCTTCTAAATTACAGAGAATACTACATCTCTGATTTAATGCTTGAAATTCATTAAATCTTTTGGCCTTTTCTTTAAATCACTGAAATTTCAGGTTGTGTTGTAATTTTTATACTTATAAGGAGGAATAGCAAATAACTTCAGAAACGTGGCTATTACAGTAATTGATTGATCTGACTTACAGCCAGGAAACTTCTGCACATGCTGGAGTTGCTGATTTTTTTAAAATATATATTTATAATTTTTTGGGGGTAGGGAAGTTGGTTTTTTTTTTGGGGGGGGGAATCATTAAAGAGTACATAACTATTTTAAAAACAGTAGATCTGATTTTAGTTAAGGTTGATTCAGTTATGTCTTCATCACTTTGGAGTTGGTTGAATGACTTGACGTGAGATTAAGCACAACAAAAGAAAAGGCAGGGGAACAACAGCTGCCTTCTAGTACTGGAGCACTAGTGCTCTTAGAAGGAAGGCATTTTACCTTTTAGTATTGTGTGGTGTCAAGTAAGTTTAAATGTTAATGTTTATATTCATGATATATCATATGAACATTCTAACAATACATTTCATACTTAAGTTCTGTATGTTCATGTTGATTTTTGTCTTTTTAAAAACAATCTTTTAAGATCTGATATTAACTACTGGATCTATCTCATTAACTTTTCAGACAAAAAGTAACAAACGTTCACCACTAGTTTGTACTTGCTTAGTTACTGTGTGGTAAGAACTTTAAGGTGTGTCATTAATGGCAGCTGACGATTCTTGCAGAGAAGTCTTGTTTGTTTTAGGTAGGTGTTTTATACAGAATTTCCAGTGAGACAAATATTACTACATTGACTGGACTCATTCTTTCTGAAAACTTACTGTAAGGCCTAGAAGAATAATTTTACCATACTGTAATCAGAGTTTATTTTTAAAAAGTCATTAAGGATCACTGCACATTTTGAGGGCTTTTTCACTTCCTTCATTAAACATATTCTCAGGTAATACGTATCATATTTGCTTTTTTTAAAAAAATTATATTCTTGACCTACATTCTTATTTGTCAAAATGAAAACACACTTTTGTTGTAAATAAGTGGGTGTGAAATTGTTTTCTGGGTTTATTTACATTAAGTGGCCTATATTTGTTTCTTGAAAACAAGGCTACTATAACAGGCTTTATAGAATAGCTTCTAGGTTTTAGAAGTTTGGGTCAGGAATACTTGTTTTAGATTCTAAATGGATAGCTCTGGGGTTTTTGCTTTGTTTTGGTAAGGAAGAAGGGGGGGGTGAGGGCGGGTAGAAAGAGGAAGCTAATAAACTTCAGCACCTTTATCAGACCATCTGACAAAAGGTTACTTCATTTTGGCTTCTAGATTCCTTTAAACCCCATAATTACCTTCTGAACACTTCTTACTAATCTTCAAGATATTTGACTAGAGTATCTCCTTATTCATAATCTTGTGAATTTAGAGTTGCATTGATAGACGATTAATTGTTTGGTTTTTACATAAACGAAATCAAGTGCTAAGTTATCGCTGTTTTGCAGAGAAAGTGGTTTAAAAGAAAACTGGATTTCACTTGACTTTCAAAATGGTGATTTACTGTAAACTTTGAGTTACAAGAATCTGAAGCTTTGTAATTAAGAAGCTCTGGGGCAATGTTAAGTAAGATTTAACCTTTTTATGTCTAGTCTTTCCTGTCCTAATTTTTGTTGCAGTGAGTGATGTCTTAGAACAAGACTTCTATACAAGATATAGAACACTCTATACTTAAAAACAAAACAAAAACATTAACACTATTGCTAATGTGTGGGAAGAACTGCTTTTTCTCCTTACCCCTTAGAGGTAAAATTCCTTTCTTTAGGGGAATCTGGAAGAGGAGTTTGACCTTTGAACTTGCATGCACACTTCCACACTGCTTTCAGGATGATGAAATAACTAAGGATATTTGCCAGTGTCTTACACTTATCTTGTTTCATCTTTTTTAATACCTAACTGTTCAGTTTTTAAATATAGTAAATGTAGCACATTTCTGCCACAGTGGGGCTGCCATTAGCCAGGCTTACCACCCTGTGTTTATTTTTTGAGACTCCTGATTAGAACATCAGGTGTCTAATAAGATACTTGTTTCTGCTTCACATAATTACATTTGTTACTCCAAATTGTCTCAAACATGCCATTTACTTGGAATGAACTCCTGAGCATTTCTAAGGACTCTCTCACTTTTTGTCACGGAAGTTATCTTTAAAAAGTTAGAGTTTCTATTTCTATTGCACTAGCAGGATTAGGGCCCCATTGTGCTTGGTACTGTACAAACACTTAGAAGGACATAGTACATGCCCTAAGAGCTTTACAACCTGAGATACAATGTGGGGAAGAGGATATATACATAGTTTAAGTCTAAAATATGTTATATAAATAAAAATTGCACATCAACTATACCCAACTGCTTCTCAGCCTGTATTTAGTTGTGTAATTTCTTGTAGGTGTCATAGAAGGAAGTGGCTCTTGAAGGGTTTGGAATCAAGTTTACTTTACAAAACAAACTGCTTTAATTTCATTTTTGAAGTGAAAGAAAATATTTAAATTTTCACTTCGTTGCTGCTCAAAACACAATCACATGACAAGTTTGGTACCCATTAAATGGGTGGCTGCAATCTGTCTTGGGAAAACTTTCATTGTGGTCATATGACTTGATTAAGGACTAAGTTACTAATCTATTATGTATTCATATCATGTTTTATTCCTTATTGGTATATTTGTTGATGAGCCTAGAAAGTGATGTGAAGTACCCTTTTGATTTGAAATTAGACTGGTGATAAGGTGTTTGCAGCATATGTGTTAGGTGAGGAATCCTATAAGAATGAATACAGATGAGAAACAGGTTAAAAAGATAACAATTTAATTAAGTAGAATGAGTTATCAAATGGCCTTTAAGTGGCTATTTCAAGAAAAAGCATAAGAGAAAACGTCACAATTGGATATAATATGTAGAATATTTGGGGAAAGCCTATTTTGATAAGTCATGCTTAGTGACTTGGGTGGATTTCTAAATATGGGATGTAAGTGAATAAATGACTGGATAACTACTTTCCTAATAGGTATTGTAGATTTTGTGCAACTAAACTAAAGTATCAAAGTCTAATTTTGTTTATGCACAATGGGCACTCTAACATTTTATTACACAGAAAAATGTTTAAGTGCAATTCATCGCTTATCACATCATATAAACTGCATGTGGAAAACTGAAGACTCATCATTGTCCTTGTATCCAAACTTTACTTTAACTGTAGTCATGTTTGCCTGAAACAGG